TTTTAGGTATGAGGCCGATCCTGTTTATGTTTTCCACTTTACTAACAAACTATTCACGTCTATATTTCTATTTTCTTATAGTGTTAAACTTTGGTATTCACAGTTCAAATTGTACCTATATTTATCAGAATTAGGTAACTATTTTATTGATTAATTATTATAGCACGGCGTGGGCGATCCTTTAGCAGGTGCCCCCTTTTTTTAGCCATTACATATTATGTATTTTCTTTTGACTTTGGAAATATTTAATATCAGGCCAGCTGTGGATCCGTGTGCTTAACGAAATAAAGAACAAAACGAATTTTATTATAGCTGTGCCTAAATAAAACACCATGCTTAAACAACATATGTGAAGAACGGTGCTGACTTCGGTACTCTCTGGGGCGGGTCTCCGAATGGGGTGAATTGAATTTAGTTCAGTTCAATCTATTGAAACATCTTTGCAAATTTCCGGAAATATTGGGATTCTTTGGGTCGATATTTCGAGCGGTGTTCACTATCGACAGACATTTGGAAGATAAAGCTTAGTTAGCTATTAAAATGTTGGTAGTTTTCAATAGGGTGAAGTGGTTTGTGCCTGGACTGACACTTGGGATTTACAAAGCGCAGATTCGCCATCGTGTGGAGTACTGCTCCCACCTATGGACAGGGGCTCCCAGATGCCACTACTGCCATTTGACTTCATACAGAAGAGAGCCGTTCGGATCGTTGATCACGTCCTTACGGATCCATCAGATCCAATAACCTTTGCATTAGACGCCTTCAGCTCTAACACTAGGAGCAGGCTTAGGGACCCCGGTAACCGTACTCATCGAACTCGACAAAGAGTTCGCCGTGCAACCTAATCCATGAATCAGCTCGCTGAGTTTCTCGCCGGATCTTCTCAGCGGGTCGCGATTCCGATCCGGTAGTAGATTCATTCGCGAAGCAGCTGCTCTTGATTTGTAAGGTCTTCTTCGGAGGCGCTCGGGTAGCTGTTAGCAAATCCCACCCCTCCTGGCTGAGCCTTTGCTCGCCCACCTGTCCTGGTGAAACTGGAAAGGCCTCTGGGCGACCAGTAATCTGTAAATCCTAAAAAAAAGGATCGTTGATAGTCCGGTTCTCACGGATCGTTTGTAAGCTCTGGATCTACGGAAAGTTTTTTCTCTGTATCCTGTACAGTGTGTTCTTTTTTTTATTGCTTAGATGGGTGGACAGCTCACAGCCCACCTGGTGTTAAATGGTTACTGGAACCCATAGACATCTACAACGTAAATGCCGCCACCCATCTTAATATATAGGTAAGTTCTAAGGTCTCAGTATAGTTACAACGGCTGCCCCACTCTTTAATCCGAAACTCATAACTGCTTCACTGCATAAATAGACAGAGTGGTGGTATCTGCATGCGCGAACTCACCGGGTAGGTACCACTACCCCGCCTATTGACTTCCACGGTGAAGGAACAACATCGTGTAATAAAAAATGAAACCCGCAAAATTATAATTTGCGTAATTACTGGTGGTAGGACCACTTGTGAGTCCGCGCGGGTGGGTACCACCACCCTGCCTATTTCTGCCGTAAAGCAGTAATGAGTTTCGGTTTGAAGGGCGGGGCAGCCGTTGTAACTATACTTGAGACCTTAGAACTTATATCTCAAGGTGGGTGGCGCATTTACGTTGTGGATGTGTATGGGCTCCAGTAACTACTTAACACCAGGTGGGCTGTGAGCTCGTCCACCCATCTAAGCAATAAAAAAAAGGTCCTACCACCTAATTACGTAAGTTATAATTTGGCGGGTTTGATGTTTATTACTTCGATGTTATTCTTTCACCGTGGAAGTCAATCGTGTACATTTGTTAAGTACGTAGTTCATTAGAAAAATTATTACCCGCCTGCGGGATTCGAACACCGGTGCATCGATACTATTGCACCGGACGTCTTATCCTTTAGGCCACGACGACTGTTCGATCGGGAGTCTGAGGAATTGTGTGAGATGATCCCATCATCTCGTTTTTACCATTACCGCTCGCCACCAGAGTAGAGTTCATTCATACTACCTAAAACTAATGCGTACATTCACAGTGTGTTTCCAAAGAACTTCCTTGCCACGTTGTCGTCCGGCTATCGAATTAATTTCTCTCCACCGTGTTTGCTGAGTTCTGTAAGACGTCCTTCTTCGAATTAGGTTTACGAAGCAGCAGGCAGCAGACTGGCTATATTTCTGTCATTGTTGATGCCCATGAGCGATGATAACCACTATCAAGTGGGATGTATGCTTGTTTAAAATAACAAACCAAGAGTCCAATAACATTTTTGTTTTACAATTAATTCTATCAAATAGATATTCTAATATAAATACTTATTTTTATTGTACTCTGTATATTTATGGTTTATTAAAAACACCAATTATTCTGACACTTCATCTTAAGTAGTTTGAGCAACTTCTGAATCACTGGTCAGGTAAAAGGCCCAATAAAAACATTTTGCTCGTAGTATGCGAGTTATTTCCGTTCTTTGTTTTTGTCTCATGCAAATAGAGGAAGATTAGTAATTCTCCTTTGAAAATCATTGATTTAAAGTTGTAGGTAAATAATTATATTCGCCTATGATTACGTTAAGTTTTTAACGACTGTTTGATCATCAAGAATACTTATGAATCCGAAATATGTTTGCTGCGAAAGATTGATGCCGGTTTTAAATGGGCCATGACTGTATGTCAGTGTATTTATAGATTTAAAAAAAATCGTTAAAATGTGCCGCTTCTCTAACTATCCAAGGGCGCCCGTTACAACGTCCGAATGTTGGTCAGGCAGATTTATGGTTTAATTCTTAGGTGTTATCATACTTTAGGGGCAATTGGAAATTTCAATGAAAATACTGACTTTATTTTTTACGTAAACCCTAGTCGTGATTTCTACACAAAAAAACAACACATTTTTTTTTTTTTTTTATAAATTTAATGTAGACTTTTCCGTCACTAGTATAATGCCATAGACAATAGTACACATACGTTAGATTCTTTATTTGTTTGTTAAAATAATCAGAAAAAGTTTAAGAAGTTTTACTAAATGTATATTTGAATATTAAGCTATGTACATTTGAAATAATAATAATAGGATTGCAGCAGTGCGTACTAAGCGTTGCAGGAAACCTGTAAGTAAAATACGAGATGATAATCTAGTCGTAAAAATAATATCTTAAAGGACAAAAGAAGTGGGAGGTTTGTGGATTACTGAACGTTTCATAGCGGTAGAATGAGATTTTCAGTGGCAGTAGTGCTTGGTTGAATACTTGCAATGAACATCGATAAATTTATCGATTCATTTATTAGTAATTTTTTTTTATAATTGCGACAATCGCCCTGCCGCACCTCTTTCAATTATTTTAATTTATGTACCTACCTTGTCCAGAAGTACGTAGAAGACCTGAAAATTTAACGTTTTGTGGCCAAGCTCATCAAATTGATTCATTGAAAATTTCTGATAATGACTGACATTTCCATGTCTTCACTCAAATAATATTCTGGAAATCTAAAATTTAAAACTTTTGTTTTATATTCGGCAATTTTTACTTATAATGCTCTAATTATTTAGCTGTGTTGTTTGTCGTCCGACATGATTTCACCTTTTTTTCCCAAAGACGTTAATATTTCTACTGCATACGTGTGTCTTTATTATAAACTGTCATAAAACCCTCTCGTAAAATTTTTCTGAAGATTGTTTACTCAATATTTTCAGTAAAATTGTTTCGTCAACTATGATTCGCGTGTACTAGTTTGTGTACAGGAAACCGTCCTATAGCACGGTACGTACGCTCCTGCAAAGTCCCGTGTTGTGCGAAACCGTGTTATATGAAACATCTCAACTATGCCTGTCTGTATTTTTTCACATAATATATACATAAAAAGTAAGCAGTAAAATTTCGGTTATTTCAATATATTTTGTGTTCATATTGCACAATAAATTTTCTAAATAATCTTAAACAAACATCTCGTTATCGTGTTGTAGAACTAACGTGTTAAAAGATGGGTTTTGGGGATTTGTTTTCTTTTCATATTAAAGTGGAATCGTGTTGTAAAATACCGTATTATAGGAGGATTGTCGGTAATTAGTGTTTTTTTTTTTGACTTCTTATGATGGTAACGTTGAGAGGCTATTTCAGCATCTTCTTGACGTGTAGGTGAGCTCACGGGGCTCAAACTGGAAGTGTTTCTAACACTGGCCTTAGCAAGAGCAGTGCTTCGGAGAATCTACCATCGGATCGGAAACGCGACCCACTGAGAAGATCCGGCGACAAACTCAGTGGGCTGTGTCTATGGGTTAATTTACTCGTCGAGCCCTTCGTCGCAAGCGACAGGTTCGGCGAGGACGGCGACGGGTTCGGCGAGGACGGTGACCGGTGCTTGAGGTACCTAAAAGTACCGTTAATGGATCAGGAGGATCCGTAATGACGTGTTTAGGGCGACGACGACTGTTTACCATTCGGTTCACAGGATCGGGTATGTAATTACCGGCGGCCACGACAAGAGGGTTTTCATGTAATGCTGCCTTCTCAAAGTGGCGCAATGATGCCGACTGTAGATACTTACTGACCGAGTCAAGCTCTAGGTCATCATGGAGATCCACGTTTCTTAGGAACCATGGTGTTCCGACGGCTATTCTGCGAAAACGGGATTGAACGACTTGAAGGGGTTTCAAGTCGGTGCGGACTGCGTGAGCAAACACCACGCTTGCATTAGTGTTGTGTTTTTTCCCTACCTTTTCTAGTAACCTCGAGGGGTTATTCTAGATTCGCCGAGCTTATAGGACAAACCTCACGGGGCTCAAACCTGACGACGTTGCTAACACGAACCCTAGCAAGAGCCGTGCTTCGCAGAATCTACCACCGGATCTGAAACGCGACCTGCTGAGAAGATTCGGCGAGAAACTCAGTGGGCTAGTGTTGTGATTTATCGATGATGTTTTGTCTCGTTCCTACACGCGCCGCACCGCGCCTCGTCCCGCGTCCCGCCGCGTCCGAGCGCATCGCGGACTGCCCGGGCGCCCGGCAGCGCATCCGAACGAACGAAACACAACACGCACTGTTCCGCTACTCGTGTTTACTACGAACATAACATTACGTTTAAAATTTAAATAATTTCTCGATTCCAGAGTGCTGTGATTGTTTATTGAATTATTTTGTGCTAATATAAGGTAAGTTTAATATGTCTAGTACTATAAACTTATAAAGTTTTAAGAATATAACTTGATGTAGGTAATTATAATGTTACTTTATGTTTTTTTTGATAAATAAAGGTATCTATCTATAGGAGATCGACGTTGTGTCATCAACGATTAATTTTGTTTTTAGACTTGTTTGTAAAAGCCTTGAAATGTTATAATCACGTTAAAGTTATATTACATTACTTTATTTAGATTCAGAGAGACAGGAGCGCATTCCCAGCATCATAATTTAATTTTGGAAGAGTATGAAGTGATCGAATTAAAATTTCGTAACAGAGGTATAATGTGCTAAAAATATTTAACTCGCAAGTGTGCGAAACGGTATACTTACTATAAATAACTTTATCGTTGGGCCTGTTGTCATAATTAAATTTTTTTCCATGAGACAAAATGTATATTTCATCCATATGCAACACCAATTGTAACCTAATTATTATAAATACTCGCGTGCTTTGTTTTGCTACAATAATACATCAGAATACTGCTAAGGATTTTAATTCTATTAAATAATTCTTATTTATGGATATAGAAATGTGCAAAACAGATATTAGCATATTTTAATACATACTTATATAAGATTAAAAATGCAAACCTGTATTATGAATCATTTTAAAGGTATAATTTTAGGAATAATCACATGCAAATGTGACAGTTCATATGTTTAAATGTCTCTTAATCACGCAAAAATGGCTAAACCGATTTTAGGTGATATTTAGTCTAAAAATTGTGTAGTTTTTTGACATGGATTAAAAAATAAGTATAGTTTTTGTCATGATGAATGACCCGAACCGCGTAACGCCAGAGAGCACAATCAACTCTTTAATCTGAAAAAAAAATGCAATGTATTTCACTATAGTATCTGAACTACCAAATTTATCGAGATCAATACGAATGGCCTTTTTTCCTGTTTTTGTGGTTAAAAAATATTCCACGACCAAACATTACTTACAAAAATAATGTTGCCACGTTTGGAACATTGACACATCGCATTTAAGAATAGTTATTCTACAAGCTTATGTAGTTGACGTACTGGCATATACTGGGACTGGGCCTTCACGAATGTATCACCTACGCAAACTCTTGCTTTAGAAGATTCTGGAAGAAATTGAACTCTACTGATTCTTTGTTTTTGGTATATATTTTTAAATCTGTCAATCTGTTAAACAAAGTTTCGTAGCGCATAGTAAAACAAACGACTTTTTTCATTAGAAATTAAACAGATTTGTAAATAACTCAATCCATATTCTCGAACTTTCGTTGGCGTGTTTTTCAATTCAATCAAAAATAATAAAACATTTTGCAAACAGTCTTCTTCTGTTAGCCCCGTTTCAAAATATATTCCAGTGAACAAAACAAAAAGCTACTGACAATGGCAAGACCACGTGATTTGGTAACTCTTCTCACAACGGTGTACCTTGTCATGCAACTGAGTTTAGAAACTGAGCAAATTGGGTGCCGTCAAAAACAAAAACCTTGATCCTATACTTTTTCGTGGCTAGACACATTAATTGATTGTTTTCTCTTCGACTGGCATCCAGGTTTGACTACCAAGTCAAGAAGCCAAGCCAAGCTCAATTGTACGATCCGACAACGTTCCTTTTCCTCGCTCAAAAAGTAGAAGAAATACCTAATCGTCTTAACCTGGTCTGTGCGGACAAACAAAATATCAACCTTTTTTTTCCTACCTATCCGTTGGCCTAGCCCTTAACCTAAGGGGCTATTTCAGCTACGCCGGACGGGTAGGTAAGCTCACGGACTCAACTTAAGATAATTTGCTAACACTAGCCCTAGCAAGATAAGTGCTTCGCGCGAAACTCAGTGGGTTGAAAAATATCAACAACCTATCTGTTTATGCTGAACATATTACGTAATCGAATGTAGGTACCGATTTGAAAAATGGCATTGTTAATGAAACTAGTAAACAAACAGAGTCATTTCTTTTTGTGTTATTATAAGATCGCAGTGGATCGCAAGGGGTAGTGGCGCACGTGCATCTCTCGTCAGCATGAGTAATAATAATGTGATTCAAAGCTCGCATTTAGATGCGAACGTATGTACTAAACATTTTTGTGACGGTTGACTTTTGAATTACTTCTCGAAGCTAACTTAAATTGTAATGACATTAATATATCGTTTAGTATCTTTAACGATAATTTATATTTAAAATGAAATGTATTTTTGGTCAAATTAAAGATCTGTTAATAATTTAGGTACATTCTTAATTAAACAGAGGCTTGTGCTTATTTTTCTACTGTTATGTTTGTTTGCATAGGTCAGGAAATATTGCCTTTATGACTAGGAATAGGATGTAACTGAATCAATTAAAATCGAAATTACCTACCCTTCTTATTTATTTTATTTATTTATATTTATTCTTATATTTATGAAAAAAAAAATTAAGTTAAATATAGACTGGGTAACCAAGATCCTTCTGGTAGCAAATCGTCGACAGTCTCCTTTCTATACGAAGTTGCTCGAGGACAGATCTGTTTGTTCTCTTGGCGGTCCACGGTATGCGGAGCATTCTTCGCCAACCCCACATTTCGAACGCTTCTATTTTTTTCCGCTCTGTTGTTCGAATCGTCCCCGACTCTGCACCATAGAGGAAAATCGAGAAAACCAACGTCCGGACTAGTCTCATCTTGGTAGCATTGGAGACTTTTCTGTCCTGCCAAATACGTGTAAGCTTGCTCATCGCAGCTTTGGCCATTTGAGTCCTTCTCTTGATCTCCCGTTCGCTTCCTCCCTGGTCAGTAAGTAGAGATCCGAGGTAGATAAACTCTCCAACAAATCTCACTGGACTCTCTGTTACCAACGCCTTGAGAGAAGCCGAAAACCGAAGCAAATGGAAGCTGAGGGTACAAAGAGCCACGAAGGGCTTTCAAGGACCCGACCTTCAGCAATGAAGTATTCGACTAAGAAGAAGAAAGAATAGACTGGGTGGAAGTTTAAACGAACTGATATTATAAATTGATTGATTTATATGCCTATGTAAAATTAACAAGTGAATCCCAGTTAGGGGCGATAGTGGTTTCGCTAGGGCTAAAATTAATATGAACGATGGTGCTCTATCAGACAGTTTGAAAGCTGCCTCCGGGAGCAATATTTGCGACTGGAGCACAAAAATTCACAACTATATTTTTTTAAATTTTATGGATTTTCAAGACATATGTAGTCATTTTGTAAGTTATATAACGTAAGTTATGTAAGTACGTTGCAGACTATAAAATTCAATTTATACATAATCAATGACGTTTGCAAAACTATAAAACTTAATATTTCAACTTGTCAATAACAAAACAATTAAGTTATCTAGTGAAGAAGAAGTATTATGTGCACATTCGCGGTTTTTCGTTGAGACGAAATTTCGTTTCGAGCTTTTGGCGCACTTTCGGTCTATTAGTCATAAGTTCATTAAAGCATCCAATTTACCTGGGTTTTCTTTGTGTTTCAAAATGTTGGCATACGTCCCGTATAAACTGTGCCATTAATCATCAACAAATGGAAAAAAAAGTTAACTGAAATTCAACCAGTAAATAGAACGCAGAATTGTTTTTAAAAGTTAATTTTTCCACCATAAACAATAAAAAAATCAGATGTTTTTTAGCGGAGTTAGTTAATATTTTCCTGTGCTATTTGACTCGTTGCTGCCGGGCATCGTGACCACGATGACCAGCAGTGACAAATCCGGTCCTATTTGCGAGACGAAGACACGGCTCTGCCCCAGTCTCGTCACAATCACAGTGGTGGTACTCCATCGTCAGTTCGCTCCGGGCGACGTGGTGTAGGTACTAGCCGAAACACCCATGGCCGGTGAGCACTTGCGTCAACTAGAAGGTGAGATGCCCTAGGTCGCGGTTGACTTGACGGTCCCAAGACCAACCGACGGATTCTCTAAATGGCACGACTACGCCTTCAGCACGGACTGCCGAGACTGGAGTTTTCTCTCTCAAATGGCTGTTTTACTGGGATATAGTTCCCCCTTGTCGCGGAGGTCTCATCTTCATGTATAATTGGCGGCGAGGCGGAGCCTCCAGGTCCCAAGGAGGCGTGCCGGTGAGAACGCATGTCTCCTTGAAAGGATGGTGCGGCATCCACGAATCGTCTTGACCGCAATCGCATACTGCGTACAGTGCCATGGACCGCGACGTCCCCACGTAGAGGTGACGCTCCACGGATTCGGGTCTCCCGACTTTTGGCAGGAATCACCATTAGCCAAGGACCCAACTTCTTGAAGCGAGCGCGCAAGTTTCAATGACCAGACCGGCGCCCCCTAACACCTCTACGCTCGTATGAAACACACCCCCTGCCCAATAGGTAAAGCCGCCTCTGCGTCCGGTTTCACTATACACCCTGCTAACAAACTTATACTACCAGTAAATAAATGTTTACAGTGAAATCACTTTTATTCAATCTGATTTGGGTTCATGAATAAAAACAAACGACTTGCCAAGTTGTGCGATTCCGTGATTGATGTTCGAAAGTACTCATGAAAATATTTAACTGTTTCAAATGTATCGCGCTCTGATCTCTCTATTTTTACATTAGTTCTAGTTAAAAGCGTTGTGATGGAGACAAATACTCGTATGTACGTGTTGCCAGGTGCCGAAATACGAAACGTTTGATAGAATCCGATTTTTTAGTTGATAATAACTTTGTTTTTTTTGAGAATAACGGTGAAGGGAAGATCTTCCACCTAGCGGGTGATATTACTCGGTAGACCGACGGTCCTAATGTTGTGGTTCTGAACTTGTATATATGCAAACTTACCTTGAAAATGTCGTAAGCAAGATTCAGGCATCTGTCAAATTTCTTGTGTTTATTATGGTTTATTATTATTATTATTATTCTTCTCCATCGCTCCCTCATTGCTGAGGATCGTGACTCCGTTTTAGCTTGTCGACTGTCAGCCTCCATCGGTTCCGGTCAGTTGCCTGGTGTAGTGCAGCGCTAAGTGGTCCGCTGGTTTG